TCAAAGAAAAGCATATTTAAAAATAAAGATAATCATTTTGGCAATACTATAAATAAGTGAAAGTATTCAATGTTGGCAAGGCTTCCTTATCCACAGTTTCTGGGAATCCAATTCAGTATAATAATCTTGAAAATAATCCAAAACATGGAAAAAGCCTTTTGCACAAAAACATATCTAGCAATAGTTTTAGAAACCACCAAAATATCAAACAATAAGGGAATTGTTAAGCAAACCATGATATATGCACTTAGAAAAATATTATGGAACTATCTAATTAGGTTTATGAAGTTCTTTTTTAAATGGAGAATGTATATATTCTGTTACTCATGAAATTGGATATATACCATATACAATTATCTTTTTTAAAGATGTGAAAAGATTGAAAGGAAACCAATGTATGTTAAAAAAAATTTTTTTCCAGCCTTATCAAGATGTTGATATATAACGTATGTAAGTTTAAAGTGTACAACATGATAACACAGATACCAACCTGGACTTGCAATTGGCATCTGAAGTGGAGGGCAGTCTTGTGGGACTGAGCCCTTACGCGGTGGTATCTGATGTGATTTCTGGATAGATCGTGTCAGAACTGAGTTGACTTGTAGGACATCCAGCTCATGTTCAAAATTGTTGACGTGGGGAGACCCCCCCAAAAAACACACATTGAGGAGGTTATCATGTAAATAATGGAAAACATTTTCCGTGAGCTGAATATGAAACTCCAGATTGAAATGGTCCATCAAATATCTAAGCACAATGAATGAAACCAGAACCATACCAGGGCTCATCAGACACATTTCATAATACCAGAAATAATCCCAAAAGCTTCTGGAGAGAAGAAAAAATTGTAATTCACAAAAGAATTGAAGTCAGACTGGCATCAGACTTCTTAACAGCATATTGAAGCTGGAAGGAGCAGAAGCAAGGCCCTTAAAATTCTGAGGGAAAATGATTTTCACCCTAGAATCTGATATCCAGGAAAGAGATGGCTGTCTAGGAAATTTGAGGATGATTTGATAAAGGGCTGTAACTAAAGAGTGGGAAAGGGTACTGTAATCCCCAAAGCTCTGCTGTTCCCATCACTAAGCCCAGGTAAGGAAGAGAGAGGTAGCGCTTACCAGAATTCAAAAGGAGCAGGTCATGTGGAAAGAGCTGTCTTGAGTTGGGGGTAAAGGGGGTAACTTTCAATAGAAGCCCTCATGGAGTGATTTAGGGAATAAATACCCTGTCCTCACTCTCCATCCTCCCGAGAGATTGGCTGCACTCAAGCAGAAACCAGAGGGCATGGGAACCAGTTGGTGTAGTTCCTAAAGTCCAACCTCCTGGGGGAGATCTGGGTGGAGAAGAGCAGGCAATGGTTCTGGAGAGACAAACTGAAAATATCTGGTGCACCAGCCAAACCACGGATCAACTGTGAGTAAGGACTAAAAACATTTTCAGAAATACAAGAGCTCTCCTTCATGTACTATGAGCTTCAGCAAAATGAGTTAAGGAGATACAGAATACATGGACCCCAACACGGGGCTCTAATTAACAAGCAAGGGAAGCTTCAGGATGACAGCTGTGGCTCATGCCCATAGAGCATCCAGTACAGATATTAGAGGGGGGACGGATGGCAGGGAAGGGGAGCTCCTAAGAAAAAAAAGGAACTGACAGATTATCTTATGCGGTGAAGCATTTGGCAGAATTGCTAGGCATTTGACTAATCTGTTGGGGTCTGTGGGGGGAAAATAGCAATGAATACACTGCAAACTAAGCAAATGGGGGGAATGATCACCATTAATTTAAGTGAAACTGAAGTAGAAAGAGTAATCGTGAAAACACACTGAAAAGCCATCCCAAAATCCAAAAGATGAGTCTCAGGAAAGAACCATCATTTGAATACTTGCCCCACTCTTGGAACTCACAGCCAGTCAGTCTTAAATGAGAAACGATTACATCTGAAAGAATAGCGACCTACTTACCAGCAACATGTGCAAATACACAAAGAAAGAAATCAAGGAGAATACAGTCAACTCGCTGTGGGCAGTCTCAGAAGCTAACATCTTTTGTCTCCTTCCCCACCTCCCCAACACCAGGGGATAAGGGACGGTGGTAATGCAAGGGAGCAGGACATGAGGACAGTTGACCCTGCACCATCCTTGTTCCAGAGCCACAGGCTTAGCCTGTGCCAAGGGGGAGAGGCTGGAAGCAAATATGAGATTGAATTTTTAAAACGACCAGGAAAGGCACTTTTAAAAGCCAAACAACTGAAATATTGTGAAAATATTGTATCATCAAGGGAGGTTTCTAAGCAAAGTAAAAAAGAGAGGTTTAACAGGGAATCGAGACAGCAGTTTTTAAAAAAACCACCCCAAAATTGTTGTTACACCCTTCAAGAGTCCTCCATCAGACCAGTTACGTAAATTAGAAGAGTATCAGATGGTGGTAAGTGCTGCGCACTGAATTAAAACAGAGGTGATGTGATGGTGAGTATGGAGCTACCTTAGCATGGATGATTAGGGCCAGCCTCTGTGAGAGGCAACAGGTAAGCTCAGTTTACAATGAAGGAGCCAGCCAGAATATGGGGCACCAGGGGGAGTGAGTTTTCTTCCCAGGAGGAAGCTGCAGCTAGTTGAGAAGGCCTGAGCTTGGTGTGTTTGAGGAACAAAAATCAGCCAAGCATGGCTCAAGTGTAGTGGGCTAAGAGAACTGAGAGAGAGGGAGCAAGCATGTTTCTTTTGGGCCAGGTATGGACCCTGCTCAAGATGCCAGTCTGGAGAAGCAAGGTGACAGTAACAGAGAGCTGGGAGCAGTGGTAAAAGCCACTAGCCATGGGAGGTGTAGCCCCTATCAAGGGACCTGTAGCCAAAGTCCCCAGTGGGGAAATGGGTAAGGATAGAGCTACTGAGGCAACCAGAAAGAGCTGCGCCACCAGGCCTCAGAAAGATGGGACTCTAAAGAGTGGCCTCAGATGAAAGAAGGCTCTAGGAACCTGAAAGGCAAGAGTGTCTCAGTTGGGAACTCTGATTCAGTTCCTCTCTGCTTGCCTGTCTTTCTACAATGCCCTAGCTGGCATCATCTTTCCCTCTGCTCTGTAGGTGGCTCATGGCCTCTTCTACATCTAACGGCGTTCTTCCAAGTTCAGCTCCCGTTGCTGACCGCCTCATTCAAGAGCGTGAGGTCAGTTTCCCAATCAGGAATTGAGCTGTGAAGGTGCTTCATAGTTACAGATTGGCCCAGCTCATTGCCTGGTACCAGACAGACAGCATCAGACAGGCTGGCCGCCCTGGGTTCAACAGGCAGGGGCTAGAAGCAAGAGATCACGTATGTATTGGGGATGGGGAGAGAGTTGAGGACAGGAAGGCGCATCCATTTGGAACCAATCATAGCTCCCTAAAGACTTGCCCCTTCAGCAAAGAGCAGTGGCTGGGGCATTTCTACCTAACAAGGGCTGTGGTATATTTGGGCTTGGCTTGTCCATTACAGGGAAACATGGGCCATAATATGGAGGACCTTAAATTTCAGGAAAAGGAATTTGTGCTTGATTGTATAGGTACACACAGTGCCTCTCCCTGCTTCGGGCACTACAAGGTGGCTCTTGGATGCAACCTAGGCATTCTTTTTCTTTCCTATAATTGGAAAAGCGGGAGCTTTTATGTAGCCTAGGAGCATATCTCAAGTAAAGGATGAGTTTTGTGTGATGACTCCCTGATGCTTAGCAATAGTACATCTTTAATCTAATTGGTTTCCCAACATAGCTAAAAATATACTGTACAAGGATACAATATCCACTCATGATGTGTCCTCATGTAAATGAGAGTGGGGCCATGCCATAAGTTAAGTGGTTACAAATGCTTTTTGCTGCTGAAAAGTGAAAAGGACAAAAAGACAAGGAAGGTGAAGAAAGTGAAGAACTGGCTAAGTAGCTAAGAGGCCAAATTAGAGAAACAAGGAAGACATGCTTCCCTCACTCTGGCCAATTCTGCTAGTGGCATTCTTTTTTTTTTTTTTTAAGATTTTTATTGGGGAATTGGGGGGATGGGAACAGTGCTGGGGAATTGGGGGAAGGGGAACAGACAAATTGCTGTCGTTTTGTTCTTCAGTCTAGTTGTGGAGGGTGTTGCTTCACTGGCCCAAGTTGGCACCATCATTGCGCTCTTCCTGGTGAGGCAGATCGGTCGCCGGCTTCTGGACGGCCGCTCACTGCGGCTGCTGGCCGCTCACGCTGGCTGCTGGCTATATACGGCACCCATGGCAACCCACTGCCACAGGGACTGCAGCCTACGCCGTCGCCAGCGACTCATGGCAGCCCAGCTCCAGGCCGAGCTGCTGTTCAGCATCTTAGCTGTGGAGGGCAGTGTCACTGGCCCTCATATGTGGGATCCGAACCGAGGCCCTCCGGCATCCCAAGCGAGTTCTTAACCATTGCGCCACTCGGCCGGCCCCGCTAGTGGCATTCTTAAAGATAGGAAGGCATAAACGACTTCTTTGACAACCATTAACAAACAGCGGCTACTACCACATGTTCAATCACAAGAAGTATATATGGCAAAAACTATGTATTAGTAAGCTGTATTCATTCAACAGATAAATGAATTCACCATGTAGAACAGCCTATGATAAAGGCAAGTTGGGTCTTCAATGGATGTTTAATAAACAGTGATAAACTACATTCAATAAAAGAACCTTTAATTTGGTTTCTTAGGATGTACACAGCACCTCTAATGTCTAGTTTTCCCTTGGAAATCAAGAGTTCATTACATGGAATATTCTCTACTGCTACAAACGAATAATTTTAGCCTCGGACCAAGTTTTAGAAAGTTTTATCAATCTCATTATATTCTCCCTCCCCCAATCCTACATTGCCAAGTGATTCCCGTTTATTTTGCCTCTGTTTTTCCAAATAAAGTAAACTGCTGAATCTGTGTGGCTCACACAAATGTCACAATTGAGCCAGGAAGATGACAGGAACTCCAAAGGCGAGAGGAGGTGAGTAAAAAATGAAAAGCTAGAAGTGATTTCATGTTAACATTTTATTTAAACCAGTACAAGCACCATGCTTAACAGAAGACTGTCCAAAATAAACATGCAATATGAGCTAGCAGACTGAAACCACAGCTTAAGAAGTTGTGCGAGTTGTTGACTTTGTTAAAACGATGACAGGGAACTGTTAAAATTCACAAGACTAAACCATGAATGTTTCAAGCCTCCTGAATGAGATTAGATTGGACCATCTGTCAGTGGGAACCGTCCTGGCATGTTAGTGATCTCCAATAGTATTCAAGTAATTGTATGTGTACGAACTATATTCCAAAAAGCAAGGAAACAGTTTCTATCACAACCTTAGTTGTTTTAAACATTACTAGAATATGATCAGTGATTTGAAATGTCAAATGGCATAATAGGAAACAAATCTCTCAAGAATATTCAACTTGGGGCCATTGGTTTAATTAAGTGGCCTAGAAGGTTTGTTTACATTCTTCCAGAAATACAAAATAAGATTTGTCCAGAAATGTTTGAGTCATTTCTTCACATACATTGTAAAGGCTCAAACTCTGTAGATTCCAGTATCTTCAGTCTATTGAACAATAGGGAAAGCAACCATACTAAGAACATTTGAATTGCTAGAATCCGAGTTACTCTCTACTTCCACCAAATATCAGCATTTAAACTCTTATGAAAATATCTATTCATCACTAGTCCACGTCATGGATTAATGACATTGCTCGGGTTTTAAAGTAGTTCAAACATTTTAAGTACACCTTCCTTACTATCTCTATTGATGGGGAATAAAGACAGCCAAATTTAATTTGGCAATAAACTCCACTAACAGGAAATTTTTAGTTAAAGTGTCAAAACGGGATACAATTTATGGCTACATTTGACTCCTGAAAATAGGAGATACAAAGGGAGAGAAAAGTGCTGACAGACATTTTGCTACAAAGATTATTTAGTAATGACAATAAAAAAATTTATCAACACCCTCTTAAACAAGAGTATGTCTAACTGCACTAGGCATTTAGTAAACTTTTTAGAAATAGACAATTTGAACACTTATTTTAGAAGTCAATTAAACAGAAACAGTCAGTCAATCAACTTTTTTTTCCTAACATAATTGCTTTGATACCAGAACAAAGTGAACGCTATTCAAAACTCTGCCGTGTTGGAATTTCAGCATAGTAACCTGAGAACAGTTGCCGCAAAAACCATACTAAAAACATGCTGTGATTACTAGTTGGTTCTATTTTGACAACATTAGACACTATGCAGAACTTAGGCAAAGCCAACAATTTCAAAACTAATGCTGATTTAGAAGATCATGAAGAAGGTTCCCAGGGGAAAAAACTGCTGCCAAAAAGGAAAGATTAAGATTTAAGGCTGAATAGGAATGGTTATACCAGAAAGTTATGGAATGTAAAAACTGGAATTACAAAATCTGGAGTTGCTATTTGAGAGAAGGCAGAAAAAAAGATCAAATGAGAAATGTACTTGAAAAGAACAATGCAAAATTTGGTTAGATGGAAGGGAAATTTAAATAAAAGTCTGAGAACACTTTAGAGCATGGGATTTGTAAATCTCCCTGCAGGACAGAGGGAGTAAAAATGTTTCTACTGATCCCCTAACCTCACTCTATTGTCTTGCAAAATACATGTTATCGGTAAGAAGCAGACAAGCTCCAAAAAAGCATGATTTATCACAGTTCTTTGCCCTGTTAGAAAACAGGGGAACTAAGGGTTCTGTATGGAGGTTAATATTATCTAGCATTATGGTGGACTTTAAAATAAAAATTAAAAAATACTAAAATGTGCAAGACAAAATAAGGAACCTCAATAAAAAATACATTCTTGCAGCACTAGTTTCTCTTATTGCTGCGACCAGGTGAAACAAACTTTCATTTCCTTCATTCAAAACATTAAAAACAGTCTCCACACACTTGGATTACACTTGCATTTCTGCAGAATTACAAGCATTATTCTCCAATATCAAAATAGCTGTTTAAAGAATTCTTAAACTTCATGGGTGAAGTCCCCTCCCTCTCTCTCTCTCTCTGGAAACTGGAATAAAGAATTCTTCCCATTCATCAACCAAAACAAATACCCACTTTAGCACATCCTCATCTCCAACTAACTTCCTACTGCTTCCTGTTTCTAGATTAGTGATGTCAAACAGTGTTGGGAACAGACCATGCTCTATATTCAACATTGTGAAAATTCCAACTATTTTTACCTTTGTTAAAGTTGGCACAGAAACCTCAAAAAAATGTGAAGAACATATGAATGGAAACTATGCCAACATAAAAAAAATGCCTTTGCTAGCTTTGAAATAACCAAGATATTCTTAATATAAGAATTCAGCAAATTTGTTAGTCTTTAGAGTCTCAAGACCTTTTTCAAATTAATGTTAAACAGGTACTCATGTTTGTTTTTTTAAAGTACACTACATATTAGAATCCTTGCCAAGGATACCATCATCTAACAAGACAGGTGTCCAATTTAGAATGTATTCTGAAATTTAGGGTATAAGATATCATTTCTATTGATGTATTAATGTTATTAGCTATGGCTAAGGTTTTAAGGTAATTTTTTCCTATGGCACAAAACTAATCACAAATATGCCAAAATTATGACTCTCAACTGCCATATACTCACTAATGCAAGCGGATAGTTGGAATTTTAAAAATGTGAAATCAATTTTATTACAAATTTCAAATACACACATTAGAAAATTGTTTTACTTGGACCCTTTACAAAAGTATTAATTTCACCAAATCTGGAATACTGGCAGTGTAAAAGTCTTCAACTAACTTTAAAGCTAATAAATCAAAGGCACAGTATTAACACATTTAAAAGAACTAGTTTTCACAGGACAACACTGAGAGTTGCTTTATAAATAAAGTGTTATTAACCTAGATTCAAAACTATCCTGAAACGACACACCCTGGAATGAAGCCCTTGATTAGCTACAACCCATCAATTTGTAAGATGCTATTTTCCATAAGAATAGTCATGATTATTATAAAACCTAACTCCCAGACCTTAAGAACAAGCGATTGATGAACAGCTTCTGGACTTGATTTAAAAGATACAGGAAACCAAAGAAGAGATAGGATTGATGAAAAATGTACTTGTTATGCAAGTTACACTATAGTAAATTATTATTCATGGCTCAAAATTGGGTCACTCACGTCTTTTACCCCAACTTAATTTCAAAGATTTCACAAGTTGATAATATGCCATTTTCATATATAAACCGCTAATATCCAGTATTTGTCAAAAGGAGGCAACTGTTGTCTATCACAATCTAAAACCCACTTTCCAATGGTGTCTGTAAATAGTAACAAATTCTGAACCATAAGTTATAGAAATTAGTCACAAGAGTGCAAAAAGTCCCTGGAGAGAAGTAGTCCACCTAACAATTACAAATATAAGGAAACACTTTACAAAGTTTCGTTACTATGAAGATGATTTCCTCTTTGTTCAAACTTTGAACAAAGAATTTTTCTTTACTGCAGGAAACAAACTGTAAGTAACAGTGCATTTTTAGGCATAAATAAGTATTTATGTCTGGTTCCAGTACGGTCAGGTTAATACATAAATACTTTAGAAACAGGACTTCACATTAGTGGAAAAATCCAAGTTTTTCACGTAACCATTCTTCAGTTAGGTCTTCAGTATTTCTGATTTCAAATACCTTAAGAAAAAAAAACTAAGTTTTAATTTGAAAATCTTAAAAAAAAAAATCAAACACATTATATATCTGAGTATTAAATACCAAATTATTTTTTTCATATTGGTGACAGCTTAATCTGTGTAAAATAGATATACCATTTGGGAGGTACTTTATTTATTTTTTTAAATACTAAGTACTCAGTTACCAAAATTTAGTGATTAAGATGGCATTTTAAAAAAAAGCAAAACTCTCTTAAAAGTGCAAATCTATAAATATCCTAAATGAGCAATTCTGTAAATCCTACTTGCTATAAGCAAATCATTCTAGTTAGTTAAAGGAAGGAACATATGCTGGTCGTCCATAATTGGAGGGAATACCAGCTGTAGGTTGTTTTGATAAAGATGGACTAGAGGTCCAAGGCTACAAATCTCAAGGAAGAATCTGAATACACACAGGCCCAGGAAGTATAATGGCTATAGAGAGAAAATGTTAACACAGCAGAGGATGGATTTGAGGCCGGGTGTGAGTCTGAATGCTAGTTCTGTCGTTCATTATTATGGCTCTCTGGGCAAGTCATTCATCCTCTGAAGCTCAGGTTTCCCACCTACAGAATAGGAACACCACCATCAACCTCACAGGATTGTGGTGAAGATTCAATGGGAGTATTTGTAAAAGTGACTTATGAATTGTCATGCTGTAATTCCACTGCTTTAGGATATGCCCAGGGTTAGAACAGATTCAAGGCAGTTAACAGAGCTTGTTTTTAACCATGTAGCCCCTAGAGCAGCGGTTCTCAACCTGTGGGTCGCGACCCCTTTGGGAGTTGAACGACCCTTTCACAGGGGTCGCCTAAGACCATCGGAAAACAAAAAGATATTTACATTACGATTCATAACAGTAGCAAAATTATAGTTATAGAGTAGCAACGAAAATAATTTTATGGTTGGGGGTCACCACAACATGAGGAACCGTATTAAGGGGTCGCAGCATTAGGAAGGTTGAGAACCGCTGCCCTAGAGCAATTCCAGGAAATACCTAGGGTACAAATGAGGAAAAGTAGTGTCTATAAGTTGATGGTATCAATGACAATCATATGGCTAAAGGGGAAAAGCAGAGAGCACTTAAAGACATCCCCTGGATTGATGTCAAGCACCCAAGGGGAAAACACTGATGCTGTCCTTAAAATAAAACCTGAAAGGATGTATTATTTAATACCATTTCAGTGATGTAATATTCTATTTCAAAACCTTAAATGTATATACTTTTTCAACTCAAACTAATATGTGGAAGTTATAAAGTTTAAGAGCAAGTACCCCTCTTACCTTTAACCTTCAAAAATGTCATAAAATGATGGGGACATGTTAAATCAAAAAGCAAGTGTCTCATATAAAACAGAATGTTCTAGCTTAATAAAGGTACTAGTAAGTATTCTTAACAATTTAATTTTAGATTTGGAAGCAATATGGCTCATTGAATGATGTGGAATTCCTGCACAGAATTTGGTTCATTCAGTCTACGGTAGAGGGCTCAAGAGAAGCTTCACTGCTGACTTTTATCTATGAGAAATTATATTATGGAAAGTGAAGAACTCTCAATATATTGAATAGTTATAGTGGCTTTTCTAAAGCTGCCTATCTTTTTAATGTGATTTTTTTTCATTATAATAAACTTATAATTCCCATTCAAACAACACACTTTTGGTTTAGACTTCTACTATTCTATTTCCAACTAATAAAAAGCTTTGACTAATTTACTACTGTTCTAAATAACGTTCACCTGCATAAAAAATACTTAACTCTTCAGATTATTTCAGCTCTTGCTCTGACAGTTGTCCCCCTTTATCCTCCAGGGATATATTCCAAGGCCCCCCGTGGATGCCTGAAACTTTGGATATATACTATGCTTTTTCCTATACATACATCTTTTCACTAAAAGGAAGCAGTTTATGGCTTCTCTTTGGCATATCCGAATTGGCAGCACCATTACTCTTATACTTTGGGGCCATTATTAAGTAAAATCAGGGTTACCTAAACACAAGCACTGTGATACCCGAGACAGCTCCTAAGTGACTAACAGGTAGGTAGCGTACACAGAACGGATGTGTATACGCTGTATACATATACACTGGGCAAACGGATGATTCATGTCCTGGGCAGGACTGAGATTGCATCAAGCTACTCAGCATGGTGTGCAATTTAAAACTTATGAATTGTTTATTTCTGGAAGTTTCCATTTGGTATTTTCAGACCATGTTTGACCACCAGTAACTAAAACCATGGAAAGTGAAACTGCGGATAAGGGGGGGGACTACTGTTTATTACAGGAAAATACTATCTCAACAAGCAAGTCATATATAAATACCACCTTGGTTAGTTCAGCGGTTTGGACTAGTTTATTCTTACTCCCAGCATACATCATCTGTTGTTCAGGCTTACATCCTGGAAGACAGATTAGTGTAAAAATGAGACTTAGATTTTGAAAAAGTAATGTGTTTTCACTTACTTTTAAAAACTGACACATTTAGGATTTCCTATGCTTTAGAGTTTATAAAAACTTCAGTCTAAATGTGTATGGGTTGTATTTTGAGTCTTACATTGCACACTGCCTGTACAAAGAGACAGCTAATTTACAAATAAACAAGCCCTAGGTCAGCAAAAATAAATGATCTTGACTTTTAGAGCCTTGCAAACACTTAAAAACTTTCCAGCATTTTCTTAATTTTGACTTTCAATATCAAGATCAATTTTATGGATGCCTAACACAGATAACATTTTGGGATGGTGGTGGGTCAGTGGGGCAGGAAGATCTGCCCTGAAAAAAAGTTAGTCTGATTACATATTAAGTTAATATACTGCTGTCTATTTTAAGTGCTAATAATGCAAATAAAGTTTAGAGAAGAGTTCATTGAGCGGAGACTTCACTGTCTTGAATGGTTGAAGGGTGGTGGTGGTGATAGTTCTAGTGATAGATACCTTAAATATCAATAAGCCATTTTAATACCAATGTAAGCTACTCTGGGACTATTCTTAAGATTATAGGCATATAATCGGTAACTACTATTTTAAAGTTAAACACAAATATATATCATGATTGTACGTGAAGTTCACATACTTACTAAAAAACTAAAATACACTTTTGTTATTTTAAAATGTCACTATATTTCAAATTCCTTAAAATGTCTGTATGCTCTACCCTAACAATTACATATCTAATAATTTATCCTAAGAAAATAAACAAGTTTTAAGAGATGATGCTTTATAGTAACTTATTTCTAGAAACGCATTCATGTGTGTATGAGCACACACACACCTCAGTTTAGGTTTAGTCAACAATTTTCATCTTTAAAACAAGCATAAAATTTGTCTAGTATAAAAAAATGGTTTTATTAATTAGGTCAGAAACAAATATACACTATTTAAAGAGATTCACTTACCAACAGGACTGGAGAAAATAAAACAAAGAGGATATGAAACTCTTCCATCATCATGTTGATATTTATAACTATACACAATGAAGGTTTTTCTCAAGTTAAAGAAACTAAAATTACTGCTCTATTGGAGACAAGTACTTACCAACAACGTTCTGAAACACACACCTAGGGAGCTACTGAGTGATAAATTTCTAACCTGCCCATTTAGGCCACACCTTCATTATTCATTATCTTTCCATAAATTTATAAATGGGCCCCAAAGATAAGTTATATAATCAAATAATTTCTCAAAAATAAAATTACTTAATTAAATGCATGGATTGAATATGGCTTATCTTTCTCATTTTTATTGTAAACACATAATAAATGAAATTTTGTAAAGGAATTAATTCATCCCACTAATACAATTTTTCATTTTTTAGTTCAATATGTGCATACATATTTTAAATTTGGTTGTGATCAAGGGGTAGAAGAAAATTTTGTAAAATATATATCTTTAAAACGTTGAACAGGGGCCGGTGGGGTGGCTCAGTTGGTTAGAGCGTGAGCTCTGAGCAACAGGGTTGCTGGTTTGACTCCAGCATGGGATGGTGGGCTGCGCCTCCCCCCAACTAGACTGCAAGTAGTGACTGGACTTGGAGCTGAACTTGAGCCCTCCACAACTAAGATTGAAGGACAACAACTTGACTTGGCACTGATGAGTCCTGGAAAAACACAAGTTCCCCTTCCCCAATTCCCCAACATTGTTCCCTTTCCCAATTCCCCAATAACATCTTAAACTTCATAAATTCTGACCACTAAAGAAAACAATTCTTTTTAAAGCACTAAGAAAAGGATATCGAGGTTGTCGTTCAGGTAGTTCATCTTTAAGTTCATCTGGTGAAATGCCCTGGCACCATAAAGAAAAACAACTTTTAAGTATGTTTTTAACCTATATCCTTAAGAGATATACCAAGCACCCATTCTACTGAGTATAAATTCATAACCATACACCACAACATAAAATTTTATTTTACTAAATTGTACACAACCCTCAATCTAATGGAAGCCCATTCCAGCCCACTCAGTTTAGTTCCGTTTATTAACTAAACATGGGGCTGAGAGATACAGTAGTCCAATTGTCAGGAAATACAGAGATAAGCCAACCTCTTAGAAGAAACAACAATGTCTGATTTAGGGGGAAAAAAGTTAATTCTTTTCACTATAAATTACTTAATTTGACAAACTAAATACTTATAGAATTTTAGTACTTAATCATTGGCCAAGCAATTTAGAAGCGAGTTATAAAGTTGACTCAATATTTACTGGACATATAGCTCTGACTTTCACTACTTATTACACTGGATTTCATTATTGTTTTTAAAGAAGGTGATTTGTCGCCGGTTCGATTCCCAGCCTCAGCTGAGGTGCCGCTGAGCTGCCAACAGGTGGCAGGATGGCTCAGCTAAAAAAATAAAAAATAAAAATAAAGAGGGTGATTAACTTAGCAGGACAATGCACTACACAATAATTAGCACGTACTTTCCATGTATAATAAGCATGTAATTAAATGTTTAGAACTCATTTTGGAAGTAAATGTAACTAATAATTGTTTAACTACAAAACTGTATTTAGTTGATCAAACAAACCTCAAGCTCTTCATCCAGTACCACCAGACGTTTATCCTTATCAATTTTCACTATAATAAAAACATAGTATGAGTAAATTACGATTCTAATGTGACCTTGATCTACCCAACCCACAGAGTCTCAGCCCGTTTTTGACATATAAAATTAAAACATCAAGAAACACAAGCATAAAACTCATTCGCAGTTTTAGTTTATGGTCTATTAGCTAGCTTTGCTTTCGAAGAGTGAGCGTTTAAAAAGCTTTTACCCACAATTCCCAGCACTCAATTTGTTTATTTAGAACTTTACATCCACTCCTTAGACTTACTGTGCATATAGGGAACTTTGTAATTCAAATGCAACTTCCTAGACAATAAGGTCTGAAAGGGTGACTGTGATTGAGATTGGTCTACTTAACATGATTAGAGCTGCAAGAGGAAAGGGGACCAGGGGTCAGGATAGAATCACCACCAGATTCTGAGCTTCCCCCTAGTTAGGATTCCATGGTGCAGTATGAGTATTCTGGGAAAGTGATTTACAAGTAGCAGCGATATCTATATTCAAATGTGTGCAACATAATCCAAAGCCAAATAAAATATGTTCAAAGATAAATCTATGTCTCTATTCTTTTCCATCACTCTGAAAACTTGGCCATTTTTGGTTTTGCACTAATTTCATAGTAAATCCTGAGAAAACAATATGATCTCAAGTAGCTTTACCTTTTATGGCAAAATTGCACTGACACACATTTTCACTTTTAAGAAGTGTACACCTATGTTGTAGTATTTATTTGTAATAGAACCAGAACTCATGACGAGTTGTCACCACCTCATTAATTCACATCTGCTAGCTCCATCTCTGCTAAGCATAGGCTATAGACTTTTACATTTTCAACCCCTCATCCTTCATCTTTCTAAATCACTACCCACATATTAAATATTACCTAAGAATATAAATGGAATCTACATGACATCAGATACAGCACACCATGGGAAAGGCAATATTTAAATCATTCTTTCCATTGTCAGAAGTCAGTGACACTTAAATGAACTCTCCATGAAACTAGAGTTGGAGTCTAGAAATGAAATAAGGCCCCAAATCACTTTGAACACAATGCTGAACTTGACCATTTTAGGTGTAGGCAAAGGTTTCTGTTTAAGGATGAATGGCCACGCTATTTTTAGTCCCCTGAGAAGTTAAAGGATGGAGCTGGATAGGTCACTACAAATGAGCAAGTGACCAAAAAGATCATCTCCTCCAGCGCTGCGTAGGCAGCTGAGGGGGGAGGTAAGACATTCTAATTCTGCTGTGATATTAGCTATCACTTATTTTTTAAAGTGATCTAAAAGGGGGGTGGGACTTAAAACAGAAGGAGGTAAATTACTTTCTAAAGGTTCAATTTATTCAATGTAGCTATAAGACAAAAACAAACTAACACTATGTAACTGAAGCAATCACTTTTAGCTTACTTATAATGGCAGCATTGTTTGTTTCTTTGCGAAAACGAAACTTTCTCAGCTTTTCCACTAAATCTTCAGCAACATCACAAACCACCAAAGACTCACTCTAGAAAAGAAAACAATAACATTTAAAATGTCATGGCTTCAATATATATGTTAAAGTTATAAAACCCAATACCTTTAAAAAGGTACATGTATACTGACATCTACAAATGTCACAATTATGTGAAAGTATTAATATGAAACACATGAACACTTAAAGAGCTTTTAAACCTAACGACCCTTGTATCTACATTATTTAATTACACACATTTGTTCATCTTATATGTAGGGTATGCTTTCACTTTCTCTTTGGTTAATAAATATCTCAAAGAACTAGACACATAATAATGTGCAATTTTATTAGAACGAGAGGAAGGGAAGAATGTGGGAAAAGTCGAGGATCACTGTCGGCTGGTAGAAAGTATGTGTTTTGGCACAATGCAAGAACAGGATAGTCATCTTATTGTATTTAGAATTAATAAGACCTTGATTCATTTTTGGGTTTCCACTATAAAAAAATACAAATACACAAAAGTATGAAAAATACACCCTAAGAGTAAAGAACAATAATATTTCTATCTTGATTAAATGACTATGGGGACTTAAAAAAGGAGCTAATAAGAATTATGAAAGCAAAACCAGATGAAACTAATATAAACACTAAAACAAACTTTTACAAATTATGAAAAAAATATTAGAGACGCTTCTCCAGAAATTTGGCAAGAAAATGATGAAAAGCACTCTTCTTTTACTGGTGCAAATGTATTAATGATTGCAAACACGAGAATGGAAATCTTTTCTTTTTTTAATGTGTAAAATTTTGAACACATAGAGAATACTATAGTGAAACCCTATGCACCTATCACTCAGCGTCAACCATTTTCAACACATTAATCCAACACCCTCAATACTGCCCCACAGCAAAGGGCAGAAACCATTTCAAGTGTAAATATTTCACTATGTAGCATTGAAATGACAGTATATGCCATGAAAAATATGACAATAAAATTATCTCACCTAAAAAATACTAACAATAATTCCAGTCTCAAACATTCAGATAGTTCAAATTTCCCTCAGTTTTAAGACACTTTTTCTTCTTATGTTGGTTTAATTGAGTCAGGTTCCAAAGAAGGTCCACATACTTTGGACTCTTTTCATGTAGAGGTTCCCCCATCCTTCTTCAAGAAAATTAGAACAGTTCTGAGATCAATGCTAAATACATGTCTCATTATAACCCACAAGGTGAAGGCTTCCAATTTTAAGTTAAAATAAAAATTTAATAAAAGCCTGCCTTTTTGACCCAGTGTTGGGTAAATTGAAGCATATGTTAAAGCAGGAAGTGGCTATCAACTTTAAATTGTCTTTTAAATTCGGAACACTGCTAATGTGTGACATACCACTGGATATGCTATTATTTGATAATGATAATAAACAACTATGTTACTGCTTTATGTATTTATTATGCTTTTTATTGTTATTTTATAGTATATTCATTCTACTTACAAAAAAGTTTGCTTTAAAACAGTATGCTGTTTTATGCTGACAGCAGCCTCATACATTTCGTTTTCGGTTCAAAGATAGAACCCATTAGTGAAACTAATAAATATTTCAGATTTTTGTTTGGGCAAAGACCAATTTATCAAGGAAATCTTATCTTCCAGCTCTGATACCCAGAGCTTCTTGTGCAATCCTGACATTCTATGTGGGAAAAAAATGCTGTGATTTAATTTGTATAGCTCTTTTTTGTATCTCTTGATTGTATCATTTTCTCTTGTGTGTGATTTAATCTTGTGTTGTTTTATAAATTTAGTGTAGCCTAAAATGTACAGTGTTTATAAAGTCCACAGTAGCATACAGTAGAGTCCTAGGCCTTCACATTCACTCACCCGTCACTCACTGACTCACCCAGAGCAACCTTCATTTATGGTAAGTGACCTATACAGGTGTATATACAGGAATACAGGTGTACCATGTGTATTTTTTTTTCCCCCAGGTGTACCATGTTTTATCTTTTATACCGTATTACTACGGGAGCTTTTCTGCATTTAGGTATGTTTAGATACCCAAATACTTACCATTGTGTTCAAATGCCAAGTATTTAGCACAGTAACATGCTGTGCAGGTTTGTAGCCTAAGAGCAACAGGCTGCCTATACCATATAGCCTAGGTGTGTGTGTAGTAGGCCATACCACCTAGGTTTGTGCGAGAACTCTATATTCACACAATGACTCCAGATGATGCATTTCTTAGAATGAATCGTTAAGCGCCACATGACTGTAAATAAAAAATACAGGCCTGCCCTCAAGGAGCTTATATTATAATCTAATAGAGAACAGATCTACCTCAAAAGGATCAGGCAAAAAAATGTACACTTGTTTGTACCTGTGATAAGAGACAGGAAGGAGAGACACAGGATGCTATGAGAACTTATGACTAGTGAAGAACAGCATGGTCACAGGAGGCTTACCTGGAAAAGGCATCTGAAGGACCAAAATTGCCAATGTAAAGACCCTTTGATTAAAGCAAGTATGGCACATCTAAGATAATGAAAGGCAAGTGTGTTTCAAGCACAGATAATGAGCAAACATGGTACAAAAGAAGGCTGGTATGGGCTGGACTACATAGGGCCCAGTGGGTCATTTTAAGTATTTTGATCTCTATCCTATGAGCAAAGGGAAACCATTAAGGTGTTTTAGGCAGGGTGGTAATGCAAAACATGATCAGATTTGCAGGCAGGAACAGGCAGAGAGCCAGGATGAAAAGAGCAAGACTAACTGAATAGCTCAGGTGACAGATGAAAAGTAGCTTAGACAGGTTGATGAGGATAATGAGAAGTAGGTGAATACTGCTAATAATAGTTAACATGTGTTAGACACTATGAGAGAAGCACTGTGCTATGTCCTTTACATGGATCTTCCCTAATGCTCAAAACAATCCCATGAAATGGGTATTATCCCCATTTTGCAAGAAACTAAGGCTTAGAGAGGTGAAGTATCTTCCCCAACTAGTGGAGCCAGGATTCTCCCCAGGCAGCCTGACCTTTAGCCCACTCACTCTCTTAAGCACTAAAAAGGAGGTGGTGACAGATTGGATATTGGGAGCGGTGGCTTAGGAACAAAGGTTACCAAGATGACTCCTCACTTTCTCACTTGTTTGACAGACTAAATAGTGCTCCTTTTCACTGAATTAAGGAACACTCAGGAAGACGAGGTTTGAGGGGAAAGAGCATGAGTTCTATTTTGGACAAACTGAGGTGGCTTTCAGGAACCTCAGATGGGGAAACGCTTCCCAGGTGTTAACTAAATTGTGGGATATACAGATCTGGACTGGATCTGGATCTCAGAAGGTCTGAGGTACAATTTCACAAGTTATCTGTGTATAGGTAGGTGGTAACTGAAGCTGTGAATGCAGGTGAGCAAGAATACAGAATGGAAAATGAAGCATTAGGCAGAGCCTGGGACTCCTACGTGATGTCCAGGGGAGAACAGCCTGCATGGGACACAGATGGACCAACAGACGAAGTAGGAGAAAAACCAGGAGGTCTGTATCCCAGAAGCCAAGGGGGAAACACGAGGGTAGAGAATGCTTCAAAAGGGAGAGCGTGGTCAACAGCCCGGAATGCAGCTGGAAGGTCAGGCAAGAGAAGACTTAAGTGACCCTAACAAGACCTATCCGACAGAGGTGGCTTGAGAAATGAGTGGGAGGTCAGCGATTTGATAGGAGGGGATAACTGGTTTTGAATGAAAGAAACGAGTATATTTTAAAACCCAACAGGAAAGATCCAGAGGATCCTTGTTGGGCAACTGACTTAATTCTCCACGTATTTTTAAGCGTGGGGTCCAACTCATACGGGAACGGAAGGCAGAGCCCCTAGACCCAGCAAAACTAAAGCTTTTGACAGTCACTTTAATGCCAAGCAGTCAAAGCCCTGGGTCAAAAGGTTTCCAACTGCAGTAACTCCAAGAGAGCGGATAAGGAGAAATCCTTAGAGGCAGGCCGGGGGGAGGAGACACGCTAAGGCGAGGCCGCGAGAATGGAATCAGGACCCGAGCTAGCCCTCCGGGCAAAGGCCGCCAGGCGGATGGTGCTCGGCGCCTGCCCGCCCCTGGCAGAGAAATGGGCGTTTGGGGGAGCCCTTCGCTGGGCCAGACCCCGGACCCCTGCAACCCTTCAGCTCAGGAGCTGGAAACCTTCCATCTAGGAGGACCCGGCGAGGATGACCCACTCCTACTGGCCGCACCCTAGCCCCAGTAGCGGGGAGAGAGGGGACCGACACCAGGCCCGGCTGGAGGATGCTGCCCTCAGGCGGGGCGGCGGCAGCGCGGGCTGAGGGAGGCCAAGTCGCCGGCTGTGGGTAGCAGCCGGGGCGGAAGCGGCCGCCGACCCACCCCGGACGCTGCCCGCCGAGACCGGCTCCGGCAAACAGCAAAGCCCAGCCAGCTGACCCAGCCCTCTGGCCCCCACCTTCCCCGGAGGCAACTCACCATTTTCCTTCCGGCCGTCAGCACTCTCTCGCCTTTCCTCGGGCCCCTTTAAGAATGGCACCGTGGCCGCCTCCCTTCCTGCCCCCGCGCTAGGCAGAGCCGCCCCCACCATCAACGCGGCCGCGGAGGGCCGACACGTGACCGCGGACGGTAGGAGGCGCGGCTCAAAATTAGCCGGAACGCGGGACACTTGTACGTTTCCATGCCCTCTAAGAGAGGATGACAGTCTGTTTAACTGTGCCTGAATGTACTCTTTAAAATTCAAGATCCAATAGAATTTTCAGTATTAAGGATTCTCAACTTCAGCAATGTTGACATTTGGAGTCCAATAATTCTTTGTTGTGGGTGGACTGTGCTGTACACTTAGGGTGTTTAGCAACATCCCTGGCCTCTGCCCACTAGAGGCCAGTAGCACCTCCCCAGTTGTAACAACCAAAAATGTGACCAGACTTTGTCAAGTTTTGCCAGGAGGCGGAAGTGGGGGTGG